ATGGGCCCAGGGCACAGTATCTACCATGCCTAACACATAGGTGGGCCCTGGTATGCGATACAGCAAAACTTAAAATATTAGTTCTCCATGACCAAAGTTTGAGATGCACTAATTTAATCCAACCCCTTATCTTACAAAAACAATACTGAGCTTCGCAAATGTGCAAGAACCTGCGTGAAGTCTTACAGTGAGGGAGACACAGTCAGAGCTAGATCCCAGAAGCCAATTTCTTAATCTTTCCACGTAATTACATTTCTTTCTTCCTTGGGGCCTCTTCTTTAAAAGCCTTTTTCTTATCCTATCTCCTTCACATCGTAATTAAGCCCTTAGACCTTCCTCAGGTCCGGCCCTCTGCTCAGGTCTGAGCATCTCTGTGCAGAGGTGACACCACTTGGTGGGTCACCTTTGCAGGGAGACCTTTGCCATGGGATGCTGGTCAGTTCATGGTGATAAACGCTGCTCTATAAAGAGAACCTATCCAAGCCCTATTAAGAAAAACACAAAGGATGCAAAGCCCAAGATATTTTTGGGCTTTCCTTTTTGGACATAATCTTCCAAATACAGTCTCATTAAAATTAGCAGCAATGGAAGAGTGAGCTTAAGATAGGATAACTACTTAGACCAGTACTTTCTAGGGCAGAGTTAATAGGGTTTACTCCTTGGGCTGTCAACCCTTCATCTCACTCAGCACTTAAAAAAACAGTCAAACCTCAGTAACTGGGGTGCTGGGCAATTGTGATGGTGAAAACAGTTCAATACAATTCGTAAGAGCCTCCTCTGGCAACCAGACTTTATCTCTTTTGTTTATCCAAAGTGTACCTACACCTGTCTGAGAGCACTGTTAACTTAAAAGGTTTGAGGAATAGCAACAGATCATTCCTGGGTTTGCTTTTTTTTTCCTTTTAGTTGTCAAATGATCTTTGATTGAAATATTTTCCTCTGTAGTTCTCAAGCAGCTGGGCATTCCACCTCCCCACTGTTGGTATCACTGATGATGTCATGAGGGTTGTGGCCATCAACATCGCAGCCCACAGACTGGACAGTCCCAGGTTCTCTTTCATGTTTCCAGAGAGCTCTCTGGCTATACAGATCGGTGCTGCATCCATCAAGCAGTGTCGACAATCTCATCAAGCCGCTGTTACCACGGTGCTTGATGAACTTTTCCTTCTCTCTATCTCTGGCTGGTTCCTGGAGGACTTTGACAGTAGGGCAGGGGCAGAAGGCACCACTCCTCCTGGGCCTCTCTGTTCTGAGTGATCAGTTTCATGTACTCCTCAGACCCTTCCAGGCACTTGTTGCCTTTGGACGTCATCACCAAACTTTTTTGGAAAAAGACCCAGCAGTCTAATCTTGGGGGCCAGGGCAGACACGGCACCAAATTCCTGTTCTTGCACTTTAGATATATGATTTTGATCTCATTGGGGCGGAACTTAGGTGATATGGCGGAGGCAGCTGGTACCAGAGGAACCCAGGCGTGGGACGACCAAGAAGGTTGCACCAAAGCTGAAAGAGCCGCCTCCAGCCATCTTTAACTATCATTGCACCACTGAAAAGTTATGACAGTTGTTGCATTGTTGATTATTATTCAGAATGCTTATGTGCCACAGGAAAATACACATTTAGCAAGTATGTTTTTTACAATGAAGACCTTTTTGTTTATTTTGAGGCTCAACCAAAAAATAGTTCTGGTCTGTTGAGAGGCAATGCAAGGGATCCTGAATCATGCATTCTCACAAGTTTATGGAGTCAAAGATTATTTAACTCATATCTTTTAAAGATACAATTCTAATGTAGAAAAAATAAGTATGGAATTTAGAGACAGACAGAACTGGTCTTGAACCTCACCTCCAGACTTACTAGTTCTGTGATCTTGGGCAAGATAATTTCTTTCTCCGAGTCTTTGTTACCTCACCTGCAGTTAATTAATGGAGTTAATAATTCCATAAGAATTATTTAATAAGATTAAATCATCTCCACAAATATTTATCGATCACCTCCGATGTGCCAAGCTCTCCTCTAAGTGCTACAAATACCACAGTGAACAAAACATATGATTACGGTTCTTGGGCAGCTAATGGTCTTGAATGGAATTGAGTATTTCCTCCCTGGTTCTTAAGTTATTGAAGAAAATATTGCCTGGGAGTGGATTAGAACTGAATTTCTTTTACCTGTAGTTCTCAAACAATTACCCCTCTTGCTGCTACAGATTTTGAGTTATAACTGAGCTGCTAAAGGTTA